CACAGCCAATCTTGGAAGCATAGCCACCTGTGTACGAAATGGCATTAATTTGGTAAACTGTCACCTGAGATAACCTACAAGCTTCAGAGAGAGGGGACAAAGGTGTTTACTCCAGCAGGGAGGACTAAGAGGCTCAGAGGACCCACAACTGCATTAAGAAATGTCTTGCAGAGCACTAGGAGTAGCTATTGACAAGGTCCAACAGACCAGGTAAGAGGTTGGCTACAATTCTGATACAGTAATGCCAAAGAAGCCACGAACTGGGACTAATGCAGTCTGTGACAAGAATTTAAAGCAACCCTTGATTTCTAATATATACACAGAAGGTGGTTTGAGAAAACTGCTCAGTCCCTAAGAGGGCACACGACCCCGTGTCTACTTACTGTGCAGCTAAGAAAGGTAACAGCAAAAGAAAAGCCACCCGAGGGCGAAGCTAGGGGACTGAGGCCAGTGCAGTGGCTATGCCTGCCCCACAAGCAGGCTTACACTATTTAAAGAACATTCTCATACCAGGGCAGGGCAATATGTACCCAGCAAGGTTTCAGGATTGCTGTGGGTTCTGTCTGCTGCAGGTCTCCCTCCCTTCTCCTGTCTGAACCTGGATGTTTTGTAGGCTTATTCTGTCTGGTTGTGCCACAGGGCATCCATGTGTGTATGGAGAAGGCGTGCTAGTTCATTTTTTGTTGCTCTCACTAATACTTGAGGCTGAGTACTACATAAAGAAATGAGGTCTACTTGAAGGCTGAGGCAAGAAGATCACAAATTTGAGCATACCCTGGGCAATGTAGTAACTAAGCAATTACCTGTTTCAAACAACAGAAATTTGAAAAGGACTGCGGATGTAGCTCAGTGCGAAGGTTCTGGGTTTGATCCCCAGTATAGATGGGAAGGAGGAAAGGAAAGAAATGAAGGGAAAAAGAAGAGGTTTATTGTTGGGCGTGGTGGTGCACGCCTGTAATCCCAGTACTTGAGAGGCTGAGGCAGGAGGACTGCCATGAGTTTGAGGCCAGTCTGCACTACATAGTGAGACTTTGTCTAAAAAAAACAAAAAAAACCCAAAAAAACCCAGGTCTATCTAGCTGAAACTTCTGAAAGTCCACGATTGACAGCCCCATCAGCTTGGCTTCTGGTAAGGATCCCTCAGCTGTGTCACAGCATAGCTGGTGGCACCTGGGCAGGAGCATATGCATGAGGGATCACACACCAGACAGGAAGTCAGAGTGATGTCAAATTTGTTCTTTTTTTTTTTTTTTTTTTTTTTTGCGGTACCGGGGATCAAACTCATGACCTCGCGCTTGCCAGGCAGGTGCTTACGCCACTGAGCTATATCCCCAGCCCTAAACCATGGATTACTCTTTTTGTTTTGTTTTGTTTTGTTTTTTGGTTTATTTTCCGGTACCGGGAATCGAACTCATGACCTCGTGCTTGCCAGGCAAGCGCTGTGCCACTGAGCTAAATCCCCAGCCCCTAAATTTGTTCTTTTACAAAACAATCCATTCTCCTGAGCGCCAACTTACTCCAAGGGACCAGCATTAATCATTTTTAAAAAATTAATTAATTTATTTTTGTCTTTTTGAGGCAGGGTCTCACTATGCAGTTCAGGCTGGCCTTGAACTCACTTTGTAACTGAGGCTGGCCTCGACTTGCAGCAATCCTCCAGCCTCAGCCTCCCGAGTGCTGGGATTATAGGCATGCACCACCATTCTCGGCTCAGCATCAATCACTTCCAAGGTCGGTGCTCCCTGGTGCCCTAACCACTTTCCACTAGGCCCCGCCCACTGCCTCTTCCAGCCACTACACGAGGGACCAAGTCTTTGGCATAGGAACCCTGGGGGATAAGCCACACCCATGTTATAGTGAGGGGTGGAGGGGCAGACAACTTCCCTCTAGGTCATAGGTCTCCAGGCCAAGGGGAACCACACGCCCCTCATGAAGAAGCCATGAGCCTCCAAAGGGCCAGACTCTACACCTCGCCTTGCATTCCTGCTACCCTAAGCCTGGTCTCTAAGTGCAGATGAAAAAGGCACTTGAGATTAGGCCAGGCCACCCGGGAGCGGGGGCGGTGTCGGTGGTGGTGCTGAGGGATGTATTTCCTGTGTGGAGAAAAGTAATAACTGGCAGAGCCTTTTCTGTTCTGTCATAGTAACCAGCATGTTCTCTATAGAAGCTGCTCCACTGACCTGGTGTCCCCAGGCACCTCACCATGGTCAAGCAGCATGGCCAGAGGGAGGCCTGTCCCAGGGTCTCTATCCTTTCAGCCTCCTGAAGAAGGGTCTTTATGGCTGATCTGCCCCAGCCTGGGCTGCTGACCTCTACACCTGGCCAGCAGCTCCCACCTGGGGCTTCTTCCCTCCCACCTGCTTCCTGATCACACACCCCCCTCTTGTTTTACTTCTTCATTTTGGTGAAGCATAATTTCTGGTACCTTCCTACCATGAGAAAGGATGCACAGGAGAGAAACTTGAGATCTTATACATCTAAAAATACAGTCACGCTGCATAACGATGTTTCAGCCGACAGACCACATATACAGTGATAATCCCAGACTACCATGGAGCTGAAAAATTCCTATCACCTGTGAGGTGGTAGCTGTTCTCACACACACATGCTGCAGGGCACACTGCACTACCAACATGTTTGTGGTGATGTTGGTGTAAACAAAAGTACAGAGTCTGGCCGTACAATGATGCAGGGCACGCGATACCTGACAGTGGTAATACATGACTGTATTACTGGATGATGCATGTACTCTGCTTTTCAACCACTGCTTAACATGTACGCCTACTGATCAAAATTCATTATAAAGTGTCTTAGCTTTGTTCCTGTAACAAGGTACCTGAGATAATCAGTTCAAAAAGAGGAAAGCTTTATTTTGGTTCATGGTTTTGGAGGTTTCAGACCAAGACTGACGGGTCCTGTTGCTTCCAGCCCGTGGCGGCACAGCACATGAGACAGGAAGCAGGGGACGCCACTCACCTGGCGGTGGCGGGGAAGCGGAAAGAGGGGAAGAGGCCGAGGTCCCAACATCCCCTCACGGCACTCCCTCAGTGATCTAAGACCTCTCACAAGGCCCTACCTCTTTAAGGTGACTCCAAGAGCGCCCGGGCAGGGGACCAAGATATAACACACCCGACCTCTGGGAACGCTGGTCCAACCAGTAAACAGTAGGCTCAGGACAAAGGCAGCAACTTGTGTCTCTCCACTGCTCAAGAAGCCACACGGACTGGCTGACCTACACCACGCAGGTCCGCGTAAGCGCACGCTATAGTGTTCCCTCACACAGTGCCACCACGGCCTGACAGCACTTTTCTCAGGACACACCCTTGCTGTGAAGTGATATGCAGCCAGCCATCCTTGGTTTGTAGTCTGTCTGGGTGAAGGGTGGAAAAGAATTTTTCTTTACATTGTTTTCTTGCCTTTTTTTTTTTTTCGGGACCGGGAACTGAACTCATGATCTTGTGCCTGCCAGGCAGGCGCTGTGCCGCTGAGCTAAATCCCCAGCCCCTTGCCTTCTATTTGCTGCTGTGGCGACGCCTCCAGCCATTCTGACTCCATTAGGGTATGACCTGCTTCTATCATCAGGGCACTTTTGTCCTTCATATTCTGAAACTCAATGGTGAAACACCTTGTTGTGGGCTCTCTTTGACCCCTATGAATATGTTCTTCGGTCAGGAAGACTTTTCTTGAATACTGACAATTTTCTCTGACCACTCTGGGGGGTTCCTGTCATTCGATCAATAAACTTTCTGCTGGGTCTCTAACTTTTTTTTTCCTATTTCCATTTGTTGTGGTGGTTTTGTTCTATTTCCATGGCGTTTTCCTTGACTTCCCCTTCTAATCATTCTATTGAAGGTTTTGTCTTTTATATTTCTGCTACGTTTTAAAATTCTCAGGAATACTTTTTGCTCCTTGAATGTTTCTTTTTAAATTTATTTATTAGTACCTTTGCAGGACACGATTCCATTCACCATGGGGAGCTGCTACAGGTACACAACACATCTTAATTCTTTTTACTTCCGCTTCCCCTCCTCTCCCTCGTCTCTTGGTCTCTTTCCCATTTGCAAAAGATCTCCGTTTCCTATATCTATCTTTTATTCTGCTTTATTTACACTTTGGGTTTCTCATATAAGACAAACCGTGCAATATTCAGGCTTGTGTATCCATTTTACTTCACATTTCTTTATATATGTTCTCCCTTCATGAGTTGTGAAACTTTTTTTTAATTTCCCCTAGCAATGTTATTGGTAATTTTGTTGATGTTTTACTTCTCTTTGCTTGGTTTCTTCCCTGTAACTTGCTTTTTAAAAATCTACTGTGGCTTTGCATCTCATGACACAGGCTTTCCTGAGATGGGAGGTCAGCGGTGGCTGCCTGCTCGTTTGCTGGGAAGGACTGAGTGAAGTCCTGTGTACAATGGTAGCCTTCGCTGTGGTCTTCTCTAGAGTGAGCTGACTGTTACATGGGCATCTGCAGATATCAGAACATTAAGGTGTTCCTTCCGGGCTGGCTTGGTCCCTTTAGAAAGACTGTCCCGGTGTCCTGGCTCCCTGCATCCAGAATGGGGCTGTGACTCTCAGCACTCAGTATCTACATGTGCATTTACTCCTCCTGACTCCCATGTGGTACCTCTGTGTGCACAGTACAGGTGTCCCCCAGCCCAAGGCCCTTCCTTTCATCTTCTTCAGGTAACTTTTTGTTAGGATGGGGAAGGAACACTTGTCAGGCTATGTGAGACTGGGCATGTGACTCACCTTAATCATTCTTTCCGCCTTCACACTCACATCCAGAGGTAACTACTGCCCTCCACTCATGAACCTTTCTTCCTGGCCGCTATCTCAGTGTTTCATTTTCTCAGGTCTGCTAAGCATTTTAGCTTGAAAAAGGGTGTTACTGCTACTTTTCCTCTCACTCTCCTTTCCCTTGTGGAATAATGCTTCAAAAAATTTTTCAGCGACTCCTGAAAGACATTAACGTCAACATATACCATCCACCCACCACCTTCACCCAGAAACCTCAACCTCCTTACAACCTCTAGTCTCTTACTGCCTAGAACACCGTGGGCCACTTCTCCTCGTATCTTCCCTGATTCTGTTTTTCCCATCTGAAATAAGACGCCCCACCCTCATAAAGACAGAAACGGTCTCTCAAAACCCTACAAAGCAAGCAAAACACAGACTCATAGCTATGGTGAGATATACTCAGGGAACAGAACCGTACATATCTTCAAGCTATTTTCCACATGGGTTTGGGATAAAGGACACCAAGCCTGAGGCGCCAATAATCATCAAATGATTGATGAGTAGATTATTGAGAAACCAGCCAGGAGGTTGTTTTGTATTTAGAAAGCCACCGGGTACAGCCAGAACACTCCAAAAGGTCACACTCATGCGGAACCATGGACTGGGGTATGTCAGAGCAGTGGTTCCTTGACCCAGGCCTCTACTCTCTTCCCTCACTTAAGGCAGCCTTGGCTCACCGACTGGAATAGTACATACTCCGCAGAGGCCCGTCACTGTGAATGTAGCCTGCAGACCTGGAGAAGGCGGGGAAAGTTGGCACCTGTAGGCATGTGCGAATTCTGCTAGGCAGAGACCAGCAGGGAAGCGATGTACCGTAGGTCAATCAGCCTAGGGCCTTCCTAATGAAGTGGCTGGTGTGACACGTGGTGGGGATGGGATACACTCTGAATCATTACTTGGTCAGGACACAAGTCTCTTAGCTGTCGTCAACTCAACTGGAGAAAGATGAGTACTTCCTGCCAGAGACTACCACAGGTACGTGAACGGGGTCCGCAAGCTTTGTCGCTCCCCGCAAAGGGCAGCAAGGCACCAGCAGGAGGGCACTGTAACGGATATCCAGGCGCTCAAACGCTGACAAGTCGACAATTCGCCATAACATGCAACCCCTAAAGGCGGTTCCCCTCCGTTACCTGGAAATCGAAGTCTTTCCCACTACCTAGGCTCCAAATTAATGCAGAACTTAATTCTGTGAACAAGAGGCTGCCCCTTCGCCTCTCCTCCGGTCCACCGGGTCCAATGCCTGGGCGACTCTTGCCCGGCTCATGGGATTCACAGCAGTGGCCGACTTGTCCCGCAACCACTAGCACGGTGACCCTGGTCTGTGTCCCCGGGTCAGGGCTGCCAGAGGGTCCGAGAGGGTGACGTTACAAAGGGCGTGTCACACTCCGCTGGAGGCAGCAGTAAGTTGGGCATCGGCTTCTCCGCTGTCGCTCTAGGGCTGAGAATGGAGGTGGAGGCTGGGGAAGCGGTGAGAGTCAAGGGCAAGTCGCCGGCCGGGCAGGGAGGCCGCGGGCGGGGCGCCGCCGAGCGTTTCCTCCGGGAGGCCCAGACAGTGGGTGGGTGGGGCGCGATGGGCGGGGTCCTCGCAGCTGGTGGCGTTTGAAGCCTCCCCGACCGCGGAGGGAGAGGGGCAGCCCGGAGAAGTTGGCAGCCGGCCTGGGCAGGGGGGAGAGGAAGGGGCCCGGCGTTCCCTGCACGGCGGCGCCCGCCGCCCCGGCACGTAGTTCACTCGGGCGCGCACCGGGCGGCCGGGCGGGTGTTCACCCGAAGCCGTCCCGCCG